CGTGATTAGGAGGAATATTCGATGTATGAATATGTATTTCAATGTTAAGAGAGAGATAGAAAGAAATAAAAAAAAAATAATAGCAGCAGTACGAATGATGAGGTTCGAATTCTAAGCAGTGATGTCATCCGGCCGGTGACAAGTAGGACGTTGATAAAGCTTAACGAAATGGAGAATTTGCATAGGTAAATAACATCCATTGTGAGCGTCTTCTTTTTTTTTGGTACAAGAGGAACGAACGATGATGGATGCTTGCGATATCTCTTAGGTATTGATCCAGAGATCCAGGGGTCAATTATTAAACTGCGTCGAGGTAATTGCATTTCTTCGAAAGCCGTGCTCTCGCGAACAACAACAACAACGGCGGCAGCGGCGGCGGCACCGTTACACAACTTTCTCGTCACGTAACCCCGTTGCGTAGCTGCTGCCCATCTGCGTCCAAATCGATGCTTTTTGGGCGAACCCAAGACATCCCTCAACATCTCAACCCCATGGTCCATCCATTTCACCCGTGAACCAAGCGTGTCCGGGAATACGATTCATCTGCGACGTCCAGACGTCCACCATTTCAAGGCATTTGCCGCCGTGTGGAGTCGTTCTGTTCACTACTTCTCTCTGTGTGTATGTGTGTGTGTTAAAGTATGTGTGGGTAGGAGGATGAACCGGACGGACCGCACCTAACTGGAAACAAAACATAAACTTGAATTTTGAACACCTTCAAACGGATGGGTCACGGGAGAAGAATGGATCCATTCAGTTTTTTTTATTTTTCGATTCTAAATGCCTCAATTCACTCGCTGCATAAAATTGAAAGCACGTTTTTCCAGGAACTGTGAATATATCTCATTATGCATCGATTGAAATGCATTTTCATTTCAAATCTACTTCTCTTTTTTTCTTACCAACCCTGACTCCGCATAAAATCTTGAGTGGGTTTCTTCTGTTGCGCGACATACCTCCGACCATATGGCACAATCTTTGAATATATTAATTCATAAACATCTTGGCAACACAAGAAAGCAGCTAAACTATTTTACATAACATCATTAATCTACCATTGAGTGATACATAAACTACCGAACGATATAATTTATAAAGTGATATTATTTCCAACAAAGATCTTAAGAAATATTAAATCGTTGTCTTTCCGCCCTTCTATATCAATTTTATTGAATTACTATTATATTTATTAATAAATAATATTTATTGCAACAATAACATAAATAATTACAGACAAACGAGTTTGTAATAAAAACCAGTCATGTGGTTAGTATTTTGTTATTTCAGTAAAATCACTAAAATTTCATCTTGTCGTATATATTTATGATTACAAAATACGTTTCTACGAACTGTTTGAGTTTGTAATTTGCTGCGTGTGTGTGTTTTATTTAGTTTCTGCAATGTGGCATTAACGTATTTATTTGCACATGGTTGTTGCACTCGCAACAAATCGGTAATAACCGAATGGATGGAAATAAAATGTGTTACTCAAGAGGCATTCAAATTGATGGTCAAACTTTGAGCAGCAGCAATTGCACGTGCATCCAACAAAAAAAATATATATAGTAAAATTAATATGTTGAACAGATGTTCGGTGAGATGTCGAAATTGCGTGCAAACAAAGTAATATAACTGTGTTACACAGCAAATGGATGGAGGAGCTTTGGCAAAACAAATATATTTATAGGCGCGAAAATAGAAATGCTCTAAAGGTATTATTGCTTGGACGAATCGGCCAAACGCTTGTCAGGGGATTGTCGTCGACTTAATTATTGCCATCGCGTTTTAGAAAGTAGTTATTTAACACGTATTTTAACTTAAAATCTTAGTAAATGATCGTGAAATGCGCAGATATCTTCATCCGCCGCTTATTAATTGCATTACGAAAAGCGTGAGAAAGAGTCTCAAATTAATTCTTTGTTGCATGCAACAAGTATGATATGTCTTAAGATGGAGCAGAAGGATTGTCCGAAATCGGCTTCCGGTGAGACGAGATTTCGTAAGCGCGAATGTCTGCAGTCGGGTTTGGAGGAGGAGATACATTCGTGTTACGCAATTCGAATGAATTTATTTATTTTTTTCGTCGTCGTCGAAGTCCGATCTAAATTTATGCACGCCCGTCGTCGGTGAGGAACACACCCAATCCTTTGGCCCGCAGCCAGCGCGAATTTCCATGCGCCATTAATCATATCGCAACCCTCATTTCCCGAAATCCATTCAGTTCCAGCCCAGATACAAGAACAATTAGCCATTCCCACTTCCTCCAATTAGCTCTTCTCTTCATTCAGCGTTTTGCGACGTATCAATTTACGTTTCATCGAATGCTGCATTTGAAGATTGATATCATACAGATGCTACGTTTTTAGTTCAAATGCATTGCGCTTTTAGCTCGTGTGGAAACGTTTCGAATAGAGTGCTTCGGTTTTGGACATGAGCGATGTCATTTTGTCGCACCATTGTCCATTGTCTCCGAGGACGCTCAGCGTGGGCCGACGGATAGGGAACGGGCGTTGTTGTTGCGTAATTACGAGGCCCTCAATTGTTTCCGAGAAGAAAGAAACGAGCGAAGAAAGTGTGTCACACAACATCTCCGTACCTAATAATTTCATCTAATTAGACTACTTTAATTGCAGTTGGAACTCATTCGAAAATAGCTGCTTCGATGATGATACATTTTGTCAGATAAGATCAGGAAAAAATAAATAAAATGAATGAGTTTTGGGTACGGTCGATCGAGTAATTTTAATAAGTCTAAAATTATCGTGCAAATCCCCAAAGTCTTGGCATATCGGACGAGATGCGCGAAAAGGACGATGATTTTGCGAAACGCTAAATATAAACAATTTTCTTGCGAGTGTCGTCGGTTTGTTTGCCTTCCCTCCCAACAAAGTTAAATTTGTTTTTGGAAGTTGCACAAGCCTTCTCTCATCCGCCCGTTACCTAAACAAACAGCCATTCACTTCGCAAATCGTTAATTATAACTGGCAATTGATAATAATCAATTATTTTTAGTTAATTCCTCGCATTTGAACCATGAAAATAGCAAAACATGTGATCGTCCAGCAATTTCAGAGATTTATTTAGAATTCTCATTTACTATAAGCTGCCAATTATACCATATGGTTACTCTGAAAATTGCTGAAAATCTTGCAGATAACTGAGCCAATCTTGACTTCCCATTACTTAGTCAATCGTTAATTATAACGGACAATTGATTATAATCAATTTATGCTTCGTTGACTTCTCAGACTTAAACGATGGCAATATCAAAACCATATGGTCATTGTGGAATTGCTGAAAATCCTGCGCACCAATTGAGAGTTTTTTTTAAGTGTTCGGGGCAATCTTGACTTCTTCAGAGAGCCACTCGAAAAGGGGGCACTTGATCGGGCTTTAAGAGAATACAGCAGCAAGCAAGAGTAGTAACAGGGGCAGACGCGCAATCTGTGCCGGCCACTGACCTTAACTTGTGCTACACGTTTTACTCGCTCAGAGATACACATACACACACACAAGAATAAGCGCGCGCCCTCAGGTGCTTCGTTCGCATTTCCAAATGGAATTTATAAATGTATGAGAAAACGTAAAGCGAAACGAACGCAGTTTAAACAATTAAAGCTAACACGATAATAACGAGCAATTCTTCCATCCTTTCAGACTGTAGTTTCCAATACCATTATCCGCTTCATTCGGTTTTTCCACGAAATTTTCATCTGAATGGAGCTTTCGCATCGTGTTTTATAAAATTTAAATTAAATGCAACTTAAAGGTTACAATCTACATTCCTGTCCGTAATTCTAGTGCGCAGCGCAACGCCGCTCAAATAAGTAACATTAAATGTTAATTTCTTACTCAGCACTTTAATAACCCAATTATCTAATACGTATTTATGTGGTTGCTCGTAGCTGTGCCCATTTGGACTAATTCATATTAAAAATAAACGCTTTATTAAGATTTTAGTAATGATAAGGGCGATGGTGGTCCTTGCGTGGAAGAAGCTGTTTGATGATGGAGGAGTTCTCGAGGTCCGGTCGCGTCATGTATTTTTAAACGCAGACTCTAGAGATCAATGATCTCGAGAAATTAAAAATATAATACATATACAAAATGCCTCGAAGGTAATAAATGTATGGTCATAACTTCGTATACGATTCTTAGAAACAGTAATTCGTCGTTAGCTTCTTATTGCTGTTTTGGCTACTAGAGATTTATTGCACCGTGATTGATCGAAAAACGATCCAGAATTCTCAGGTGCACACGTATAAATCTAGGTGTGTATATATAAATTTTGCTAAAACTCGGGCTTGACTGACTCATTGGCATCGGTACAGCACAAAAATAGAAGCACTCTTTCGAAAACCACCCGCCATTTCGTGATAAAACGCTAAGGAGCGACACGATAAAATGTACACTCGAATTCAACGCTCCTACCTAAAAATCGGTTTTGGACGATCATAAACATTTGCTCGTTTCTTTGCTAAATATCATTGATCGACCTATGATTCATTCTCATTCATTAGCCATTCGCGAAATCCCAAGGTTGCGTGATTTATAATTGGCGACTAAATATACCCGTGATGACAATATCTTGGACCTTCTTGAACAACGAGCAACGCGTTTCTCAAAGCAGTTGTAACTGTTGCATAACCCATGAATACCTCAACAAACTTGATTTAACAAACAACGAAAAGGGAGGCAGAAATAGGGCCGTGAAATGTTCAAAAAAAATTAAAAAAATATACAACAAATCTTAAAATACATTTTCATGTATACTTTAAGGAAAAGGAAAACATTGCTTTCTTGTAAATTCGCCCGTCCCGTGAAACAAATTGCCTTCTTTCCGTGTTTTGTTATTTCAGTTCGCCGTGAAAAGTATTTGTTTTCTTTTACAGAATTAGATCGCGCTATTCCCTGCGTTATTTACATTATCCTCTCTTTAAAAGAATCCAGCTTGTCGAAAGGAATGTTTTTTTTTAACACGAGTTTTCGCTTTGTTTCAGAAATCGCTAAGGTTCGAGCCAGCCTCTTCCAAATAAATGGAGTCAAGAAGGAACCGCTCGTTCTGCCAGAAGCCGAAGGAACAGTCACAACGCTTACAGAAAAAGTATACGTGCCGGTTAAGGAACATCCAGATGTAAGGATCTATTAATTCATCTCGTAAAAATAGTCTATTATAGTTAATCACTGTAATTCAGGGGGATCTTGCTACTTTGTAACGTCTATAATTTATGTACTTATCCAATGTTAATTAACTTATTTAGAATTGACAACGAAGTAATTCATTTAGTCTTTATCATTTGTTAAAAATTTATTTATACTTTCGTAAACTCTAATTTGTACAAAATGAAAACGTGATTTTCATAATTTATTTACTAATTATTAAATTGTAATCGTCATTTTTGCACGCGATAATGAAATATATCAATACTAATAGTTGCAAATATATAAAAAAGCAAGGTTTTCTATTATCTACAATTATAACGTTACAAATTGCAATTTTAACGCGATTTCACCACTTTCTAATTGCATTAACATTGGCAGACAGTTAATGCAAAGATGTTTTTTTTTTCGCTAATTACTGTTTTTTTATTTAAACTGTGCATCGTTTCGTTGCAGTTCAACTTCGTTGGAAGGATTTTGGGACCACGCGGCATGACGGCCAAGCAGCTGGAACAAGAAACTGGATGCAAGATTATGGTGCGAGGGAAGGGCTCGATGAGGGACAAAAAGAAGGTGCGTTTCGTGGGATGGGAGCAGCGGATGTTGCGAACGAAGTCCTTGACTTCTCGAGTGTTTGGAATGGAATTAGTAAAAAAAAAATTGTTTTGACATTGCAGGAAGATCAGAACAGGGGAAAACCGAACTGGGAGCATTTGGCTGATGAGCTGCACGTCCTGTTGACCGTCGAGGATACAGAAAACAGGGCTCAAGTTAAGCTGGCCAGGGCAGTCGAAGAAGTCAAGAAGTTACTCGTACCTGTAAGTGTTCGAAACTTGCGTCTCTTTCCTGCGGGTAGTGAAAATGTGAAAGTGAAAAATCCGAGCGCACAATGAATCAGGTCAGATAAAAGGCGCGCTTTTCTCGGTCCGCGCCTCTCCTCTCGCTCACTCACTATGCTTCTTTCCGCGGATTTCAGCAGAAGGAATAAGTAATGAATGTTAATGGCATGCAATGCGTACACGCGCGCGCCTTTGAGACGAGATTTTGTATGGTTTCACTTCAATTACTAAAGCATGTTTGTGTGCTAATGCTTTTGACAGAAGCGTGAATTTCATTTGCAGCCTCTCCGGTAAAACCATTTAGTTCTGCCGCTGAAAAACTCTTCAAATTACAACTACTTGTAGCCATGGTTTCCCAACACGAATATGCTAACTATACAACCTCAATACCGGCTGCATTTTTGGGTTTCAGTACTAAAGTGGTCACGTACAATAAATAATAACCATTTCTCCGAGTTGCCCTCAATTATATACGAGTAAATAATTGAGCCCTGTAAAATTTCTTAAACTCCGGCTGATTTTCGAATCTGATAAACAGAAGCCATAAAGCAAATGCTAATTGGGTTGATTTCATCCTATTTTTTACCATGATCCATGAGGTCAAGACCGAGATGAATTTAGATAAGTCCCATAACGATTCATATTATCAATCGATTGTAGCCTTGTTTTGTTATTCTCTATCACATGAAACTTTTGCAATTACTACAGGCAATAATGTGTCTCTCATTATTATCTCGCATTCTTGATTGATCGATTCGATTATTGTAGTTGAATAAATCTTCACATAGATTTACATTTTGTTTTGCTTAATACTCATAAGCAATAACTCACTTCTCAAGTTTACCTATAAATTGCAACTAATTAAAATCCTAAAGAATTTAAATTGATATAATAAACATATAATTATTTTCATTTCAATAATTCAAATTGATTTGACTTGAACACAAATAAAGAATTCATCTTTCAATATGCTTTCAAAATGCCGACTTGAGTAGGAAATAATAAAAAAAAAATGCACGTGCAATTTGCATAGATATTTATTTTTTTTTCCGCCTGTTGCTTCTGCTGCACTAATTGAAAAATGATACGTTCATAAAAGTGAAACTTTATACAATCAGATTTCATTAGTGTATACACCGGTTTCCATTGCAAGAATCAATCACTGTTAAACAATTCGGTAATGCGAATCGACAACTGAAATTACAATTTTCAATTTATTGTGAGAACAGTTTTGTTAACACGATTCATTAACATAAATAATTATCTTTGAATATGGCTATATAATTGAGAAAATGATCAAGCAATAGTTTATAGCGAAGAAAATGGGTTATTTGAAATAGGAAGTAATTATTTAAAGAGATAAATTGTTGAAAATATTAATATTCATTATGGTACGAGAATTTGTTTATTGCGTTGTTGGTTGTAACTGTATATGTTAGGTTTCTATTCTAATTGATCGTCGGTCTTAATGGCAAGTAATAATTATTGATAACGTAATTTATAGATTAATTAATCAGAGCACAATAAAAGCAGCAATGATTTAATAATAGGTTGTAGTGCGTTTGTTTACAACTAAACGTTAAATAACATTACAAAAGTATACCTTTTGCAACTTGTACGTGTGACAAGTATTTAACTTTGATAAATATATACGAAATATTAAGTGGAAGATGACTAAGAATCTGTAAACATCTGTAAACGTTTCGCATAACGAGTGACGATGTGAAGAGAAGTCCCGGATTGTGCGCCTTCTACATCATTTTTAAAACTTTTGTACACATTTTACGTGTATTTTTGAATATGTTTCACTATACGAGTAAAAATCTGGAAATTTTGGAACGAATTAAACTCGAGGTTCCACTGTATATTTAAACTATTTCCATTGTTTGATTTCGTATTAATGAAGAAGAAGAAATGGGAATCCTATATTAAAAGAGTGTTAATAACGAGTTTTATTTCTCAAGAGAATCTTCAAAATTGACCTGATCATTGATAAATAATATTTGTAAATTTAAGTTAATTTTAAGAGTGTAATGGGCTTGTCTCTAATCGGAATTGTGTTTTTGTTTTGTGTGTTTGCAGCAAGCCGATGGTGAAGATGAGCTTAAGAAAAGGCAGCTGATGGAGTTGGCGATCATAAACGGCACGTACAGAGACTCCAGCTCGAAGGCAACCTCAGGTATGTCTAAAATAATGTTGGATCGGATTTGATTATCGTATTAATTGGAGGATTTTTCATGCCAGCTTGCGATGACGAGTGGAAGCGCGTCGCGATGGCCGCCGAGACGCAACGGCTCCTCTCCCCCGGTATGCCAGGCATCGCGACGCCCATGAGGACGCCCGCCACCCCACTGGGAGCACCGTTGATCCTGTCGCCGCGCATGTCCGTCCCGACGACGGCCGCCTCCATCCTGAACGGCTCGGCACCGCCCGGCTCCCTCCTCTCCCCCGGCGACGCACATGGTCTCATCTACGCCTCATACCCGGACTACAACTACGCCGCCCTCGCCGCCTCCCCGCTGCTCACCGAATACGCAACAGCTGATCACTCTGGTGGGTTATTTGCTCGTTGACTCTTTTACCATCCCCAATTCTACTACAATTGGGCGAACACTTATTAGATCTATTACTATTATTATCATCATTATCGAAGTTTTAATACTTTTATTTTTTTTTTGTGTATTCGCAAATATTTGGATTGTGGGATGCGTAGGAATTATTATTTGTTTGTTTTATTTTTTTTATATTATTATTTTATTTTTGTTTGGTTTTTATTTTGTTTTTAATATTTTTGAAACGGGTTTTTAGCCAAATGTAGTGCCATAATTGCGCAGCTCTGATTTCTTTAATTGGTGGTATATATAACACGATTTCTATCTCACATCACGAACAAAACCGTAAATTCCGCTACACTTTTCTATCAAACAAACTTTTAGTCAGAATTTCCGTTCTATTATTCTACATTTTTTTTTTTCGTTTATTATTTTATTTTTCTTCTAATATATTACAATATTTTCTGTGATACGAAACCGCTAACAAGGGTTATTTTTTTATTATTTTTTTTTAATTAATTTTGTTTTGTTTTTTTTTCATTTAAATTATTATTTTACACGGAAGGCATAAGAAAGTGGATGAAAATACGTACTATATTATATATTTCATTTTATATCCCGGACGTACGTAGAGAGTATTTTTAGCAGAGTTTTTATTTATCTATATATTAGTGTGTGCAAGTCATAGATTTTATTTATATAATTATTATTATTATTATTACTGTTAGTTCACTTAGCTAGATTTTTTTTAAAATATATAAATTACCCACTGGGACGCGCCATCGTCGGGCGTCGGAAGTATTTCTTGTTCTGTAGTTCTCGCAAGACCAAAATTAGTTTCGAACAAAGATTTTTTTTTAAATTAGCAAAAAAAAAACTTATTCAATCAAACTGTGATAATTTGTAATTATTCTGAAAGAAGAAGAAAAAAAGCATCACTAGCCTGTACTTAGTAAGAAACGGACGAAAGTTATTCCAAGTGCTGATCGACGCCTTCGAGGCTCGTCCCCGGTATTCACTCTATTCGAGTTTCACAATTTCCAAAATCTATATAATAGAGAACAAAAAAAAATATATATATGAAGAAAGTATAAGGTATTAATTCTATTGGAAGTATATATATATATTTGTATATAGTAAGCGCTTATATAGATGCATTTATTATTAAGTTCTATTTGTTACCTCAGAAGGAATTTGTATTTGTTTACAAATTGCGCACACAAAGCTTTCAGATTTTCGTTCATTCTTCTTACATCAACGAATTAGTGAAAACTAATATTTTTGATATTACAACTTTATGGTGAATTCATGTGGAACAGCATGGACGAAAATCAAGTGATATCCTATAACACGCAGTCCGGGCTTGAGTGCTACCATTTTAGTCTGAGACTTAGGAATTGAAGATCCGGATTGCGCGTTAACGGATATCACGAATATAGAACAAATCATTAGTTTCGTGCAATAGTTTTTTTTTTATTATTATTTTGTTGTTGTTTATGACCGAGTTTTCCATCAAAAGAAGTTATTATATTAAGGCTTTATTTGTTCACACATAGACATATATATTTATATATTTGTACTTTTTGTTTTTTTTTTTTATTTATGTATGGTATATATATATAGATAGATATATGCGGCGCTTCAACTAGTGGACGTCTCTATTATGTTATGTAGTTTGATATTTTTCCACGCGTATTTTACTTAATTTGTTTTTGTTTAAATCAAAATTTTGTGTTTTCTAAGATGTACGAATAATGAACATAATTGTAATTGTAGCAGGTGCAGCTGCTGTAGCTGCTAAACAGCGCAGACACCTAGGCCAGGTCAGGGAACATCCTTACCAAAGAGCAGGCGCTCTGTCTTAAATCTTTTTAGACAAGGTTAGTTGCGTTATTACATTTACTACATAGATATATATGCACAGATATATATATTTAAATATTTATGTTACTTGTTTTTTATTATTACTATTATTGTGTACATTGTGTATTACTATTATCCGCCCTCATCAGTCAATTCTCCTTCAGACGTCGTTTCTAGCCGCCGCCCCCCAAATAATCTCACGATTATTATTATTTTCTATTAAATATTTTCGATCGAGTTTTTTTTTTGAAAATGCAATCAAATTTACGACACGAGCCCCCACAATATACAAAAAAAACCCGAAAGACTGCGTCGAGACTAAATTAATTCAATTAACAAACATCTCTCAGTTTCATTCCATTAGATCCACTTACGAATAGATTTGTACTTCGTTTCGGGTTGGGAAACCCGAATAACATAAATTAATCTATACTTCTACGATTTATTTTATACTTAATATTTTTTTTTGTATTATTATTATCTACTTAATTGTATTATTGCGAGGGCGAACAACTTGAAAAGCAAGCAAAGCTGCATTTCCTCTTTTAATCGAGGATCGAAAACTCTCATTTCCACAACTTTTTATTTGTTTATCTCAATTGTTTTATAGGGCAAACGGCGTATTATATACACACATATTATATATATATTTATGAAATTATTGTTTCTATATTTTTATTTTGTTTCTATATATTTCACATATGGCAAATACAATATTATTATATTATACTCTTATATTATGATTTTTTTTGTATGTTATTTGACTTGCGCCAATGTGGAAAAATATATTTATATAAAGAAAAATTGATCTTTTTTTATTTTTGATTTTTGTTTAACTTTCACACTTGAAAATTGACTCTGGTACCCGAACACGTTGTTATTTATCTTAATACGATTAACATTTAGTAGTCTTTAATTTCCACTAATTCCACTTGGCCAAGTTGTTTTTTTTTAATGATTAATTCACTGATTTGGATGCGCGAAAATATCGTGTAAAACAAAATATTTTAGCGATATTTTCGTGCGGCGAAAAAAAAATGGAGAGGTATTTAAAAAAAAATTGGTTCGGACGAGTCAAGAAAAAAACAAAAGCTTTACTAATTTGTGCCCAGTGTCGCGTCTCACTACTTTTCTTATTATATATATATATATACACGGATCATAAACAATTGAAAGTTTGCATGTGATCTCTTTTAATCTGTAAATACTCGATTTGTCCTTAAGGAATCTTTCTATTTATCACACATTTATATATACAACACATGCTTTTGTGATCGACTAACAAAACATCAAAGCTTCTCTTACTATTATTATATAGTTCACTCTCGAGACACTGGGCGTGTACATGTCATTGTTGTTGTCCTTTTTATTATTTTCGTTGTTGTCTGTTGTCGTCTTTCATTATTGTTTTTTTCTCTCGATTACCGAACGAAGCAATCAGTGCAATTTATCTATTTAATTTATTTAATTGATATATAATATTTATTGATTTTATTTATTTATTTATTTTTATATACTATTAAGAATGAATTATTTTATTTATTAATCGACAAAAATACTAACATTCTGTTTTTTTCTTTTCTTTTCTTGTTAACACCCCCGGTTGCCCGGCCTGTAGGCGTGCTAACTTGTCACCTGCGCCACTCGACTAACAGGAAGCGGACCATCTACGGTAGTGGTACGTCTAACAAACATCACTAACCCTGCACTCTGTACTAAGGATCACCATTATTATTATTATTTTTAATTATTATTTTATTATTATTACTACTTATTATTATGTACGTTTCTATTATTACTTTTTACACACAAACACGTACGTTACAACACTAACTGAAACAAAGAAATGAGGAAAACATTTAACAAACCAGTCAATTATTCGAAAACTTTATTTGTTTTCCTTAACTAATTAAGATATGTTTGTTAACATAACATTGACGATGAAAGCATTTAAAAAAAAACAATAATTGGCAAGCCAAAATCAATTAGTAAACTTATCAAAGTTTAAATTTTTTCCTTAATTACGATATGTTGATCAACGTAACTATTGTCTCTTCATGTATTCTACATATTATGTTGTGGTGCGTGTGTGTTTGCGTGCGCCTGAAGAGCGGCAACGATGGAAATCAGCAGCAATTACAATTAAAGTCGTTTTAAAAGGTCTCAAAAGCCTTAACAGCTTTCGGACGATTAATATTATTTTTTTTTATATATCATGAGAAACTCTCTGCCAAAGTACAAATTTCGAGTTTCGAAGCAAGTGCCAATTTATTATTATTATTATTTCTATTTTTTTTTATTAACTTTTTTACTAGGAGATTATATATCAAAGCAATCGGAAGATCTGACTCATTTGTTTTCTGAACTTAATGTAAAGCCGCGCGATGCTCGCCAAGTGACCTGCAACTGCGTTGATTACCGCACAAAATACTTACGCAAGTCACTTGGCAAGTAGAGAGTTTGGTTTCGATGAGACGCGTTTCCTTTGCTCGAGCGAGATCAAAGAAAGAAAGAAAAAATCCACTTCAAACAAAACAACACTTACACAAAAACAAAAAAAAAACTTAAAACGTAACTTGATTTTGCGAGAACTTTTGTAAATATTTTTTTTGTGTAAACATCTTTGCGTTCGTCTCGCTTGAGCATCGGAAACTTTGAGGTAGGTACAGAGGAGAATTAAAAATAATCAAAGGTGACTTAATCTAAGTTTGTTGTGCTTAAATATTTAAAAAAAAAAACTTTAATTTAGGTCTGTATATGATATTACTTGTTAACTTTTTGAGAATCAATTAAACAAAATAATTATTAATAATTGGAAACGACAAAAATGAAGAGAAAAAAATCAGTTTAGCTTCTCGATTATATAAATATATAGATATATTTAAAGAGCTAATTTCATCGAAGAAGAAAAAAAAATATATATGATTGTATAAATATTATATTTAATGTTTTATATTTGATATATAGTTTTATTAGTGGTTATTATCGCGTGTAAATTGAAGAAGGCAATAATAAGTATCGTTATTATTTTTTAGTGTAATTTTCTCGATTTATCTCAGTTAGATTTATTTTTTATTAAATTTTAAGGTTCTTAAGAAAGGAAAAAAAAAACGAAAAAAAAAATATATATATTTACCAATAAATAGAATATTATATATATAAATATATTATATACATATGTATTTATCAAGAGTTTCGTAATTATTTTCAATTTATAATTGGAGTGCGATTTTTTGTTTGTTTTCAAGAATGGTTATTAATTTATTTTGCAAACTCTTTTTACTATTACTACTATTATAATTATTATAACTACTACTGCTGTCCGTCCCGCCTCGAATGAAAGAAAATATTAAAAAAGAAAAGAAAAGGTGTAACGATCTAATACTCAAATATTTTTTTAGTGCAATAATAGAGGCGAGTTTTTCTTTTGTTTTGATTATTTCACGTTGTTAACCCTTCGAACTGCATGATGAAAGAAAACGTTTAATTACATATAATTATTTTTTTTCTTGATTGGTTTAATTTTGTTTTTGTTCGAGAGGGTTAATTACACGATCGAACGAAAAGTAAGTAGCGTGCAATGAAAACGATAAATTGTTTTGTTTTACTATAATATTATTATTATATATATTTTTTCGTTAATTAAACAAAAGAGAGGAAATAAAAAAAAATGTTTGGCGTATGGAAGATATTTAATAGTTTAATTGGAGAGATTTATCATTGTATATTTAATTAATAAAGCGATTAATTACGATTAATAAGGGAAGCGCTCTTATCACACCTCTATATCTCTTCTTTTGTTTTTGTTTTTGTTTTTTTTGTACTTACTATAACTGTTAGTGATGCACGAACCATAATAATTTCTTTGCTAAAAAAAATCTAGTTTTTTTTTGATAAATATGCTTTATAATTATATAAATTTAAATACATACATATATGTGTCATATTAATATTTTATAGTGTGTCAGTGCTAGAAGGTTTAATTCTTTAGTTAGTTGCAAACATTTATCAAATAAACATATTACTTACATTTTAAGATGATTTATAAATAATATTAAGACATAATAAATGTAATAAACATTGTGTAACATACTCTTATTTATTTACGTGTTTTTTTTTCTCTTGTTTATGTACGTTCATTGGAGGGTTTCAAGCTTTCAATCGCACACTAAAAAAAATGTGAGACATTTCAGGCATGAGCGTAGATTTGTATTTGTTTAATTGCACTCTTTCTCACCACTTGCTTTATACAACGTGATTTCCTAATTCGCTATACATTTAATTTTTCTCACTCTTTTTTAACTTTTATTCAAAATAAAACACGTGCAGAATGAAGGTAAGTTTACTTTAAGTAAGGTAATTTTAAAATAACTTTAATAAATCCATACAAAAATGAAAATTACTTGTTTCTTTTTGTCCAGTAATTGTTTAATTAACAGTTTTGTTTAACACAAACCTAAACCTATCCTCTCCGAAATGAAAACTTCTTAATTAATATAATTTTACAGGTTAATCAACATATTTATTCTTTCTACTATTTGATTTTAATTGTAATAAAGATTATTGTTTATATAATAATTATGTTTTTCTTTAAATCCCTAATAAATTAAAAAATATCTGAATATAAATGTCTTTTTCGGCAGGTTTTGGACATTTTTTCTTAAAAATTTCAGTTACCTAAGAAATCTTTAAATCTATAAACATTGAAAAAATCTGAAAAAAAATCTTAAAATTTACCTGGACTGTCTTTCTTAGAAGGAATATTCTGTACCTACGAAAGCATTAAGATGTTTAACAATGTGTTCAGATAAGAAAATTGCAAACCCAACTTAGGATTTGTTCCAAGAAAAAAAATGGTCAAAAAATGATGAAAACTAGAAATTATCATTTAGGGCAAATGTGATAACTTTTCTATTTGTAAATATTACTAAACAAATATATAGAAATTACAACATGATTAGAACATAGATTTTTCTTAATAATTATTAAAGAAATTTTAGATAGTTGATGTATTTTCAGTAATTATAGAAGTCATTAATTGTTTTAATTCGTACTAATAGTTTAGTTTACATTTATGAATGTGCTGTATTTGGCAAAAGTATTTGGAATCGAAACTATCAAAAAGCTATGAGCAAAAGCGAAGAATTTTATGGGGAAAAAAGACTGATCCAGACTTTTTCAATTTTAGAATTTACAGAATTTTTTTCCGGAATTGCAATTGAGAAGATACCCATCAAATTGTACTCGATTTCTGTCCGTTTGCAGTTGCGTCTCCACCAAAGAAGAGGAAAGAACAAAGTCACCGGCTTTCGCAGAGCGTAACAAGAGAACGCAATCCAGAAAAATTATTTATTTATTTGTTTTTTTTTTGTTGAACGAAAAGAGGAGATCGGACGAATTTGTGACTAATTGAAGTAATTCCGTAGACGAATTAAGAAGGAAAAACAAAGCATAACAAAAGTGTGGAACGCGCAGCAATTCCTGTGACTTCATATTGATTATTACATAGATTCTGAGCAGAGATATATATTGATATATTTTTGTGAAAACAAAGAAAAAAAAAGGGGACAAAGAAACGATGTCTTGTAACTTTATGCAAGCGCGTGCCGCAGACTTGAAGTCCGACACGCTGTCGGAAATTTCCGAGTCGGGCACCACCAATTCCGGTTGGACTTCCGGATGGGACTCTCGCGAGGACCTGAGGGACTTCGTCACGAAGATCGGCCTCAAGGACATTGCTGATTTGCATCAGGACCGCTTCCGGGTAGACAGGAAGAAACTGGAGCAAATGCTGAGCGGTAAAAAAACGCTTTCTTCGTCTCTGACATTCGACTTGATGTTTTTTTTTCTGTTTCAGGCGACAATGAGGCCCCTCTACCGGCTGATATTTTTTTTGAGCAGGTAACGAAGATTAAAATACATAAAATACAATGCGATTTAAAGATACATTCAAATCTTGAAAATTTTCAAAATGCATTTACTTTTTAATAGATAAAGAATTTAACTGCTTTGATAACATCAAGATCTTATTAATTAATGGATAATGTTTGGAATGATCTTCATGTTATGCTCTGGGATCTAATAGAATAAACAGTTATGTTTGAATTATTTGTAAAATCAAGATGTTGCTTTCAGATTATGAACGATACAAACACTTTCATTACGTGGCCGAGTAAACTTAAAGTTGGGGCCAAATCCAAGAAAGGTTAAACGCTTGGTTTCTCCTGTTTATGGAGATGCTAATTTCATTGAGTTTCAGATCCTCACGTAAGAATCGCTGGACGACCGGAAAACGTGCAAGCCGCAAGGGAACGTATTATGACTGTATTAGATACCAGAGTAGGTTTTATCTTCTCGATGGAAATCTTGTGATTGACTGATTGTTGTTTATTGTAGAGCAATCGCGTAACGATGAAGATGGACGTAAGTTACACCGACCATTCCCATATCATTGGGAAAGCCGGGATGAGTATTAAGCGCGTGATGGATGAGACCCATTGCCACGTACATTTTCCGGACTCGAATCGCTCGAATCCTATCGAGAAATCCAACCAAGTTTCTATCGCCGGTGACATCCAAGGCGTGGAGTTGGCTCGAAGTCGCGTCCGTCAGAAGACTCCGGTGCTCTTCGGTTTCGAGCTTCCCATCATGTCTCAGAATGTGGATGCTACGTGTCCGTACATCGTGAAATTGCAGGAACAGTACAACGTTCAGGTGATGTTCCGTACTAGACCGAAACTGCACGCAACCCTAGTTCTGGTCAAGGGCGTCGAATGGGAGATCAAACAGGTGAAGAAGGCCACCATGACCTTGGTGGAGTACCTGTGCGAGAACCTTTCGAATCAGATACCCATACAGATGTCCATGGAGATATCACCGCAGCACCATCAAATGGTCAGCGGCAAAAACCATGGTAACGTGAAGGAAATCATCAGGGCTACAGGCGCTCAAATAATGTTTCCCGATGCCGAAGATCCGAACATTCCTTGCTTGAAGAAAAGCAACGTGACCATCACTGGTAACATTCACAGCGTGTACGCTGCCAGGCAGATGCTCATTGTATGCAAATTAGTAAATATCTTTTAAACCAGTTCAATTTACGTGTTGAATTTTAGGGATCCTTACCGCTTTTGTTGATGTTTGATTTGCCCGAAAATAAAACACCGTTGAGACCGGAAGAAATCACCGAGTTGCAAAACACCTACGATGTGGTTATCAACATTCGACTTAAGGTTAAGCAAAATACAATGGCTTGCATCATTAAGGGCACCGAGCGTTCTGCAAGTAAATATAGTAAATAAAAAGCATCATCGATGTGGTAATTAATTATCGTTTTGTTTCTCGTGATTAGGTAACATCTACAAGGCTAGGAACGATATATTAGGAGTCAACGAAAGATCCATAGTTGCAGATATCCCGACCAATTATCAAATTCCTTCTCAGCCAAGCAACACGCCTCAAGACCTTCCGACCCCAACTCCGATGAATCCGAACGTTCTCTCACCTATGCTGTCCCCTCTGATATCGCCCACCTGGCATTATCCATCAACTTCTTTTGCGAAGCCTCAACCTCCGTTCGTGACCATGGTCAATCAACAGCCTCAGTTCATGTACAATGGGAACTCTCTGCAACAGTCAATGAGCAGCAGCGGTTATCAATCGCTCGGTCAACTATCCACCAGCAGCTTGGAGCAGTCGCGCGAGTACAGCACGTATTCATCCATCTCGAGCGCCAGCCCCATCGGCAGTCCACTATCCAGTCCAAGAAACTCCAACATAAGATCCTATCCGGATTCGCCGATGGACAAGTGCGAGTTCGATGGGTATGAGCAGAAGCGTTTGGCCGGTTACAAGGCGATGCAATCGCAACCGACCGGTCAAAACTTTCGTTATCCTACGGGCGCCTGGGCCGGCTACGGAATCAGTCACACCAGTCCCGCTTTGCTACCGGAGAAGCAAGATCAGAACAACAAAGACGACGATGTGTGGAAATCGCCGAACTCGAAGGACTTCTCGATGCCTTCAACCTCCGGCACCAACCTCAACACGAGCAACTTCCTCGACCAAACTCCTGCCAACGTGATCAGCCGTATCACGACGACAAAGTGGCCGGACCTGGAGACACTGCTCACGTCGTTGGCGCTGGAGAAATACATTGGGCTCTTCACGTCGCACGAGATCGACCTGACCACTTTCTCGTCCATCAGCGACAAGGATCTGATCGAGATCGGCGTCACAGCGTTCGGCGCCAGACGTAAAATGCTCCTCGCCATCTCAGGTAATACTAATCTCAATAATTACTATATTAAGTATTTAAGTCACATTAGAGTTCAGTTATATCGACAGTTACTTTTTACTAATATCTTATATGATTTGACCAACATTTATATCTTTTTTCGCAGAATTGAACAAACGAGCCAATCCATTCTCTGCGGCTCCCGGTGCCGAACGCAAGAGCTCCTCCTCATCCAGCTCTACGATGAGCCCTTTCAGGGAAAAATGGTAAACTATAAACCATTTTCAATACGCAATTCGTGAACGTCTTCGAATTACGTCGTATACCCGCATCCGTCTGTGTCACACATAATCTTTCTCTCCCCCCCAAATATAAGTGTTATTCGTTAAATTTAGAATAAGGTAATAATCGTTGTTAATCTGTTTGTTTTCGTCGTGTTCGCTGGTTGGGCAATTTAAGTTTTGGCGCGCGAAAGACATTTCAATGAGGATAACTTAAAAGAACATATGATATAATAGCTAACATTGACAATCGTTTCAATTGCGAAAAATAAAAACCATTGGAATAGCATTTGCTGAACAAGTAAAATTTTCAGAAATAAAAAAAAAATATTACGAAAAAAAATGTAAATTTCGATGAAATTTATACACATAAAAATATTTAAAAAAAAAGCAAAAATAATGTATTTGGCGCGCTATATAGATATATTTAATTTACATTTAATTAAAAAGCACATTTTTTTCTGTAGCTTGAAAAAAATATAATTGTTAATTAGTTTAAGTTAAAGTTGAAATTTAAACTGTCCCATGAGCGAATCGTTGTATTTATTTCTTATTTATTAATTTATTTATTACAATTTTTTTTGTTTCTCGTTCGATTAATTTATATATTTACCTAAATCGAACATTTTATGCAACAAGATTCGTACACTGTATTTATTTATTTATTTATTTTTGTACACATTTCACATCAGTCGACCATAGCACTCTTGTCTATTTGATCTCTTTAAAACTAGTCCACGTTAAAAACAAACAATTGAAGGAAAGGGGCGGGGCCGAGGGAGGCGCTCTTAATCTGTTATAAAAAGTTGGGGACGGCCGCAAGTTTTTATAAATTTTAATTAGCCGCTGCCGAAACGCCCCCCTCCCACGAGATTATTTTCTACATTTACAATTTTTTATTAATCTGTCTTTGTGGATCTTTCGGTTTACCCCAAATTTCAAACGCTGCATTTATTTATTTATTATAGCTTTCTTTCTTTCATTCTTTTTAAATTAACTTATAATCGAAAAAAAAATAATTCTAAATTCTTCATTTACTTTCTATCATTATTTTTGTTTTGTTTTGTAAACACGACGCTCATGTAATGTAAAATTTCGCCGGTGATTTTAGCTTAAATTTTTTCATCATTACTTATTATGCAAAAGTTTTAATTTATGTCCACGTTTCATTCATTCATTTATTTATTGTTTCAATTGCGACGCGCCAGCCCCCACATTTCAGGAAAAATATGAAAAAAATTACAAAAAAAAATATAAGAAATAACGGAAAAACAAATCGGTATATTTGTGATTTTCGTACTAGTTTAGAACTACCCGCCCTTTCGATTTTGTTCGTTTTTTTTTAACTACAAAATTAAAACTTTTGTAAATATTGTCTCGTGTCTTGTATTTATATTAAATATTTATTTGTTTGCATTGATAATACTGTTATTTATATATATATTAAAAAAAAGATATATTGTTTATTATTTATGAAATTTAAAAACTTGCAAATCTATGAAATTTGTTGATTTTCTTTAGTTTTCCCACACAACCCATTTTATTGCTTCCATAATCCTAATTTATAAGTTGGTAATTGATCAAATTACTTTTAAATGTCAAATTATTTTTTAAAAATGATTTGCTTAACGAGCGACGATGAGAAAAGAAGTCCCGGATTGCGCTGCTACATCATTTTTAAAACTTGTGTTATGTGTATCTTTCATAACACTATACGAGTAAAAATCCCGAAATTTTGGAACGGATTAAACTCGTTAAGCGTGGTTTCATTTTAATTGTAAAGTACAATATTAAAAATTAGCCGTATTCACTTACAAGCTGTTCTTTATTGAACTTAAATTGAAATAATATAGCAATTTTTTTGATAATTAAGATATTGCAATTTCAGAATAAAAGGTAAGTATATTAAAAAAGACAGGATAATATTGTTTTGGACAATTTTGTTTTATTTCGTAGAATCATCCACGTTTGTTCTATTTCGATATAAAGTTTAAGAAGTTCCGAGTAAAAAGTACACTTAGTTAAAAAGTATTTTCTACATATTAGTCCTACACTACAAAGCTATAAATATAAAATAAATACTGTCCATCATTAATGTAATGATGTATGCAGCATCAACGCAAAGATAAGAAATGTTAAAAAATAACATCAGACTATTTTCCGTTTATATTTTGCTTATCAAAATTTCTTGTAGTATCAATATTATTTACATACAGATATTACTGTCTTCATACAAATGCAAGCGATAAGAGTACACAACTGTAACATACATTTTATTTGCCATACTTATACATAATCTTAATAACTTACGTAAATTAAACATGCTGTTGACTTAATATTCTAACTTTTCAATGAAAATGTATTTAACTAAGTTGACGATGGTGGCGGCGGCGGCGGTGCACTCAGGAGGCTCGTCATGTCGATGCCCGGAGGCGGAGGAGGTGGGCACGAACCTGGTGGCCACGGGAACGGCGCCGGCCAACCCATTGTAGTTGGCGCCATGAGATTACCACCGTTCGAGCCAGCTCCAGGAGGTGGTGGTTGTGCATTGTTCATCCATGGCATCATCTGCGGAGGACTCGATGCGCCGGGCGGCGGAGGTGGTGGCATAACACCCGGTGGTCCTGGTTGCCAACCCATATTGGAATTTTGCCAAGGTGGTGGCATACCTAAATAAGAAAAAAATATGCATACTTAGTAAGTAGATCAACATCCGAGATTGAATTAATCAATCTGAAGACGGTATTAATACGAACAAGGCATTGTTGGAATTGAAGGCGGTGCATTAAGTGAAGCTGTGTAATAACTATCATTTAATTTACCAGGCATTGCAGCCATCATCGGAGGATTCGCCAGTGGAGGCGGCATCAGTTGCCGCGGCGCCGTTTGTGGATCAAACATATTCACAGTATTCTTCCGACTGTTGGATGATCCGGACGAATTTGATCCTCCTCCATTTCGAACAAAGTCCGGAGGTGGGCCTTCGCCCAATTCCGCCATCAAAGACATGTACTCTTCGTCAATCTTAGCTTTATCGCCAGCTGCTTGCGGTCCACCCAAGCCGGGTCTCTTCTGTCTACAATCCCTAGCAATATGTCCAGCGGCTCCACAACTGGAGCACACTATGTTATTCGTAACATTCGGTTTATCCGGACACTAAAATGCATTGTTTATATATGGTAAAAAGAGTTGTGTATAAATGTACCAGCCAGGACTTGTGATCACTGGCACCGCAATTGTTGCAGCGCATCCCATCGTTCTCTCTCAACGTTCCATTCAATTGAGCCAATTCCCTCAGCTGCATTCGCCTCAAATCGTTTTGGTTTTCTGGAACTTCTACGCCTTGTCGAATTATTTCCTTAATCTGCAATCAATCAATAGGTTATAAGAGTTAACACAAAGTAATTGTGTAAACTTACCCTCTCAACAGCTTTTTTCACATGCTCAGGATTTGTAGCAGTAATGTACGCGTGCAATGGCTCATCTTCACCAGGTAATGGTTGACCGTCCTTACGACCAACTTTACCTTCTTTCACACTACCTTTACCACGAATTATTATTTTGGCACCAGTTTCCTTCTCCATGGCTACAAAAATAATCAAAGTTACCACAGATATTTATATGAACTAAATAGCAACTTACTCTTCAAAGTATTGCCTCTCGGACCAATCAGTAAACCAACGAAATTAATTTCAGGATGTTCCTCTTGCGGAATCATCACTTTATCGCTTACTCTAATAACTGGAGGTCTGCAATAAAATATTAGTTTAGATCCAGAAACAAGTTTTAGTTAAGATGCAAAATACTTGTAGTCAACGGGCGGCTTAAAATCCGGGTTTATAGACTGCATTTTGATGACCAGATTGTGACGATCCTCTTCCAGGCGACGGCGCGTCCTAAACTCCCTAGTATTCAGCCTCTTACCATCGCTGCTGTAGATGGGCTCAGGTGATGGGGATCTGTGCAACAGAAAAGCAACATACCAAAATTACAAAGCTGAACCGACATCCGCCTTCCTACGGCCTTTGCATCATTTTAAACAAGACGATAAAATGCTGCGAAATTTGTAGGAATACGTGAATGCTCAGTCCAATAACTAATAATTGTACATTTGTTCAACATTCGCGCATCATCTCATTCGTACAACTCACTCTAAAAAAATCAAACAAAAAAAATTAAATAAATATTAGGAGAAATTGTCTGAATTAGAATTATAGAGAAACAATATTATATAAACAGTAAGCGGTAAATATAAAAAACGTATTGTTTCTTGTGTATTATATGTCGATAAACCCTGCATAATGAAAATAAGCTAATTATATATATGGGAAGAAAATAATCATATTATCTCTTAAATGATGGTAAAAAAAATTGATTATGTCGCTACAAAAAGAAATTTGTTTTAATCGATTATTAATTTGCTGCAAAAAATGTGTTCATTAATTTGTGTCATATTATCCAAAAGCTAAAAAGAGAATAGAATTAGATTTAGTGATACAGTAAACAAGTTGTCTTTTTTTTTGCCTAGGCTTACATATAACACAGCAACGACGCATTCAGATATGCACGTCTTATATATTAGCCAAGAACAAGGAAGTTACATATGGAAGGTGCAAACAAGGATATAATGCACTTTTCAATGGATTATATTCCTTGGCCAAATATTGCGTTCGATTCATTCAATATTTAAGAATATGCAATACGCAACTGTCGTCAGATACATTCTTAAATATGGATTTGTACTTATTCTTTTCTTTTGTAATTGAAATTTCTTTCTGATCTTTTTCTATCCATATCGAAAATTAAAGAGTGTAATAAAAATTATGAAAAATAAATAAATAGGGTATATTAGACTGTTTTTTGATCAGTGTCGATGCCAAACCACTGTAGTAGCTCTCTGAGGGGGGGCTGCACTCGTGGCTGGCTGGAAGGATTGAGCGCATGTAGAGGAAGTAGTAGTAGTAGTAGAAGTTGCACCTTTCTTCGGGATTGGCCGGAATTCCTAGATCTCCTGAGCGTAGTTTACGACTGACTTCTTCAATCTGCAGTTGAACTGTAATGAAGCGGGTTAGAGAAGGGCAAAAGCCCAACAGTTAGAAATTGTCTCGCAATAGCAAAATTATGTATACAAATAAACCTCAAATGACCTCAGTTTATGATCGAAAACAAAATAATAGATAACTTTTGAAAACCTGCGATGCGTGTTTACTTTTTTTGTAATTGTTTGCGGTATTTGTTTACTTTGGTTTCCACTTTTCTAAAAATAAAATCATCTCCATTAGTAAACATTCATTGGCGCATACTTACAACGCGAAACGTACAATCCGTGAAACTTATAGTTTTAATTTCGTAACAATTACTTACCCACACAAAATTTGAAAATAACTTTTATTATGTACGTGTAAACAATGTGGGAGAGCAAAAAATAGTGATAGCTACTTACGTAGATATGCGGCCTCCTGATCTTTGTTGAGATTGCTGGGAAGGATTGTTGGCATTCCGGGGATGAAAATCTTCTCGTGTTCGCTTCCTCCCCATCTGGATTTCCTACGTCTCTGCCTTGCATCTTCTTGTTCTATAAAACAAAATTACAAATTATATTACAATTAACACAACAATTTATTTATTTTTTATTATAATCCACTTAAGAAATAATTGTCTTGTAGAAATTGTGTGTAATTGTAAGAAAAATGTCTCGAGCAACGTTTCGCATAACGAGTGACGATGAAAAGTGAAGTCACGGATTGCTCATCTGCTACATCATTTTTAAAACTTGTGTAAACATATTAAGTGTATTTTTTAATATATTTCACTATACGAGTAAAAATCCGGAAATTTTGAAACGGATTAAACTGGTTAAGCGATGTTCCAATGTATTTCCATGTACTTTAGTACATATTCTGCAAAACACATATAAATGATAAGACTTACATCAACAATAACAGTATAAAAACAACAACAGGAAGCTTGATAATGTCAATAAACGTCCAAAAATTGGATATGTACATTTCTTGGCCAACAGTTGTATAATTTATTATGTTTACGAACTGTAAAATAAGTTAACTTTATTTAGTAGGCGTGAATACATTTTCATCAATGAGCACTGTAAAATGTGTATTATCTCCTGCACTTTAAGCTTTCAATATTTGCTTACCATAAACAATTATGATAAATAAGAAATAACTACATATAAGTGCATAATGATACAAAAATATTTTTATATATCGTTAGTTTAACATGATTTGTTAATGAAGGTAAGTGTTTCACTCTTAATAAATGTGCAAAAATAAATAATAATTTAAACCAGTTTACGCAATTAAGTTAAAATATGTTATAAATCGTTAATATACAATTATTTGCACTTTATAAACTTACTAGTATTATTTTATAAATGATTAAAGAATAAACAAATTTAGTAAAGAGCAACATCTGAGAACCGCTGATTTAGGAGAAAGTAAGTTGCGCATCTAAATATCAAAAAGCATGTCTATTGAAAATTGAATGAATTTCCTATTATTAAAGTTCGTTGTTTACTTAACAAGAAACAGAAAGGGTTCATTGTTGTATCAGGACAAAAAATATACACAATAGAAGATTACTATAGAAATCATTAACTGAACAATTAGCACTTTAAATGTGTAAATTAAATATATGTATTAGCACATTGCAATACACCTACAACCTAATTAGCATCAATAACGGAAATGCAACAGCTGGTAAAAAGTATGTTACTTTGAATATATAAAGCATGTGATTCAAATCAAAGTTTCTTGGTGAATAATGGATAAATTTCCCATAATTACTTTGTAATAGTTGTTTATGTACCATGAAATTTATTATGACTTTAACATGCTAGCTTTGATATAAATAATTCGAAACTATAGCCACATTTCAATAAAAAATTACTTTAGATATTATTAATTTTGTGATATGTAAAAGCAATATTTGCGTTTTCTCGCCATTAGCACATTTTCGCAAGACGCCTACAAATATCTAAGAGGTGATTAAGAAATGTGCAACAGTCAGCAGAAAGTATGCTCATGTATGCAGCTTGAAACGTAGTTTCTTGATCAATAATGAATGAATTTCAAATCACTTGAAATGTAGGTTTGTACTATACCTTCTGTGCAAATAGGTTCTTCGCTCTTCTGAGTGACGAGGGATGCAAAATTCCTCGTTGCAGCAATCGTGGCTAGGGTCTCGGCCAACAATTTTTCTCCATCCGGCTTCGGAGGAGTCTTCTCCTTGCTGGTCTGGGCCCTGCCGCGACTCCTGCTCCTGCTACGCTTCTCTCGTTCCCTCCTTGTGTTCTCGGCCTCCCTATCCTTCTCCCGGTGTCTCTCACGACCGCGATCCCTGTCTCGTTCCCTATCCCTATCGCGATCTCGTTCCCTGCTCCTTCTCTTCTCTCGCCTATCCCGGTCTTTATCCCTATACTTATCCTTGTCCCGATCCCTGTCTTTGCTTCTGTCCCTATGCCTCGACGAACCCATCTTGTCTTTATCAATTTTTTTTTATTTATTATTTACACTGAACAGATTAACGAACTGTCTTCAAATGTCTTGCGTTGTTGCGTCAAAGCCCTAACCGGACGCCATTTTGGAATTCCAACGATTTGAGCTACGCAGATTGTAACACTGTTGCCGATTCTGGACTGGACCTTTCCCCCGAACTCTCAGGAGAATGGACTTCAAAGAGGTATTTATTCACCTGTACACCTATTACAAACACCCACCTATTAGAACACCTAAACACCTACTCAGCAGCATGCAAACTCTCACGGTTTTAGATAAATTTAAAGGTTAATTGTTAAACTCTGCACATCTCAGGTTCGCCACAATTACAAAAAACTCTTTCATCCACCAACTTTTGCAAATGTAACATAGCATGGTATTATTATTTGGAATGCAATCAATTAGAGCATGTGATTTATTTAGTTCAGAATAAAATATTGCTAATAAGATTTATTCTATATATTAATGATAAACGCATTTATTTACTTTTGGGGTGGTTTCATTCATCTGCAACCAAATGTACACTTGCATTTCCGTAAATATATACACAGTGTGTCAAAAAGTAGATGCTTGTAAATGTTATAACTAATTTTAAATGAAATATTTTACTTCTTTACTTGGTTCTGTTGTGTACGAAGGACGTCAGCATATATAGACTTATATTAAATTTTATTAAAAGATTGGGCTTTTGTTGTTTAAATTTTATAATTTGTTTGTTTATTTTTATCCAGATTTTAATTTTTATTGTTATTTATGTTACTGTGGTTCTATATAACAAACTATCATAACTTATATACCTATCAGAGACCCTCCAAACTGTGATAAGAGCTGATAGGTCCCTATATATTTCCACTCTTCTCAGAGTGGAAGAAACAGAATTACTTTACTTATACTTATTAACATTTCAGAAACGTCTCTTCGTCACAGTAGGCACGACGCAGTTCAGTAAATTGATAGAAACGATACAACAAGATGAAATTCTCTACAAGCTCTCTAGCATGGGTTTTAAGGAAATCCAATTCCAAGTAGGAACTGGAAAATATGAGCAGAAAGAGCATCAAGTGTTGAAACTAAAATACACACCGTTCTTTGATGATTTCCTCGGCGAAGTAACCAAAAGCGATTTGGTTATAAGCCATGCAGGAGCTGGAACTTGCCTGGAGGTCTTGCATACAGGAAAACCATTAATCGTCGTCATTAACGAAGATCTAATGGACAATCATCAATCAGAACTAGCAGAGCAACTGCAGTCAGACGAGTACCTTTACTTCTGCACGTGCAACGAACTAGTTGAAACTCTCGACAAGAATCTCAAATCTTTAAGGAAGTACCCGAAGCCGAACAAACAGAACTTCAGCAACTACTTGAATAAATGCATGGGATTCGCATAAGAACGAGTTATGGAAAAATGAAAACAAACACTTTATTTTAATCATGTAGATTTAGTTAAAAAAAAATTATAAATAGTTTTCAACTGAGGATGGTGAACTGATGGAAAGTTTAAACTAATTTCTTGGCTTCAAAGAAACTCTTCAGATGCTTCATTTGCCAGGCTCCCATCACAATGAGGACAGCAGTTTGGGTGACCGACCACCAAAGAACGCGAGAGTTGGTGCTTTCGCTGGTCTGACGGAACCTCTCTTCACGATACTGAAATTATATATAATTTATAATGTATTCCATTTAATTTTTACGAAATTATATATTATTTACTCTCTGATAATTTTGTTCCTTGGTGATTTGCTCCACTTGATCCAAAAGTTGCCTGATCCTCAATTGCAATTCTGATAGCTTCTCCTTTTGTACTACATCACCATAGTTTACTGCATGTTCACCAACTTGAATGTCCAAGTGCACACGCAGCTGAGATCCGCTGAACCAAGCAGTGCTGTTGGAGTACATGCAAATGACATGTTCACCAGGTGTATGAGAAGTGAATGAGATCCTTCCTTCTGAGCTGTACACTCTCGACAAGATTATCTTGTCATCTGGATCCCTAACCTCAACGTGCATGCCAATTCCTGGAGATGAGGGCATGAAACCACCACTTCGTGGATCATAGAGCTCTACCTTGTAATTTACTGAAAACAATAAATGTATGAGTTAAATAACAGCTTCGCTGTAAACGTATGTATCCTTTACCTATGACGTTTGTTTCATCCGGTATTTCTTCGATGAAGCATTTCCTCTCCGTTTCGCCAATGTGGAAATAAAGACCATTGGTGAATTCCAATAAGGATATTAAGAAAATTACACTGAAAATACTAAATTTATCCATATTTCTATATTTATTCCGGAAAATATTCAGATCCGACACGTCACAAACACTTCGTTTGGCAAACAATATGAATGAAGTTTGCTGCGAATTATTCAAGAATTAGATCAATATATGTTTGTTACCCTTTTTACACAAATTACAAAAAAATATAAAATTTGTTAAATACTAAATAATATAGCTATTATTTATTACAGTAATAAAAAAAATAGATTATTTTACTAATAATTATAACAAAAAATAAGCTTTAAACTTAATTTAATTTAAAAAAAATTAAGTACAATATTTCAATTTAGAAATTACATACAAATATCTTAATAATATTTAAATAAATTATTTACTTTAATTAAATTGAAAAAATAATAGCAACAAATAAAATTTTGATAAATAATAACTCATTATTTTTTTTCTATTAATTTATAATTCGACACACCAACCAAAGAGCACCAAGCAAGAAATAAGTTTTTCTTTAGAAGTTTGATCTTCAGAACTATGTCCAAATACAGGTATCCCCCGACTTACGAATTAACTGTCCAAATAAAAATTGATAATTTCTGTTTTGTAACATTTGTTTATTTTGTCGTTTTTTACTAAATAATTGTGATGTCTACATTTAAAAGTATTTGTAAGTAAGTATTTTGTTTATTTTAATTTATTTTTTCAAATTTAGGCAGTCTTTAATACGGAATTTAACATATATTAAAGTAAAAACCTTGATAAAGTGTGGTAAGATAAGTATATTTTGAAATTTTAAAAATTCCCCTGACTTACGAACAAATTCTACTTACGAACAACCCTTTGGAACGGAACTAGTATATTATTATTATATTAAGTCGAGGGCTACGTGTACTATTAATTTTAATATTTCAATTCCCAAGTTTATTTATCTAAATACCTAAATGTCTAGATCCAACAAATTTCTTGACAACTGTAACAAGATTCATCCTTTAACATACCAACCAAATTAAAGGATAATTCCTCTTTCCTTGACATTACCTAGAAAATTGTAATAACAGGAATGTTCAAAAGGAACCACCTCAAAGATTAAAAAATATTTTTTTTGTTTGTTTTGTTGTAATTATATTTAACATTGCTTAATTAGTAACATGGTAACAATTTGTAATATAAATAAGTCATTTTTCGTATTTTGTCTTTATAAATATATGAATTATTTTTAATTTTAATATTTCTGTCCGTGTTACAAATAAAATACAAAGGACAACTTGATTTAGAAAATGGAATATTTGATATTTGTTTTGTTATCCTTCAGAAATTGTATTGTTCTTATGAACATCAGGAAGTGTTAGTTATTACATATTTACTATTAATTAATTTAACCTTGTTGGTATATTTCATAATTAATATAACATTTGATATTCAATTACATAATTTTACTAAACAATTATAATAAATAAACAATTAAATGTTAAATTATTTTAGGTGATAAAATTTAAAGTGAAGTATACAATTTTGTAATTATTTCTTTAATTACTTGTTTTAATATCTTTTAATGATGGTAATTGTAAATAATTAAAATACCCGACTTACGAACTAGTTCCGTTCTAAAGGTTCGTGAGTCGAATTTGTTCGTAAGTCGTGGGAATTTTTAAAATTTCAAAATATACTTATCTTACCACACTTTATCATGGTTTTTACTTTTATATATGTTAAATTCCGTAATACTGACTACATAAATTAGAAAAAATAGATTAAAATAAACAAAATACTTAATTACAAATGATTTTCAGTGTAGACATAACAATTATTTAATAAAAAAACGACAAAAGAAACAAATGCAACAAAACAGATAGTGCATCTTCCAAAATATTATATTTTATTAAAGAAATTATCAATTTTTGTATCACAATATATCACCTTGTAACAAGTTAGAGCTTTTAGAATTATGTTCCTAAGTCCTGGAGTTCGTAAGTCGGGGAAAGCTTGTACGACCCTTTTATTACCAATTTGTCTTCACCTGTTATTTTTATCTGATTCTCTTCTTTTTTTCCCTCCTCCACCGTTTTTGGAGTCTCCAACATTTGCCAGGCTCCCATCACAATGAGAACAGCAATTTGGGTGACCGACCACCAAAGAATGCGAGAGTTGGTGCTTTCGCTGGTCTGACGGAAACTCTCTTCACGATACTGAAATTATTTATTATTTATAAAGTATTCCATTTAAATTTTACGATATTATATATTATTTTTGCTCTTTGGCCAGCCTATTAATTTTTTTTTTTAATTTTATGTTATAATTTTTAGTTTTTATTATTATCATTTATTTATAAAATGTACTTTTTTTTCTTTTGTATTGAGGTCTGGCCAATAAATTATTATTATTATTTACTCTCTGATAATTTTGTTCCTTGGTGATTTGCTCCACTTGATTCAAAAGTTGCCTGATCCTCAATTGCATTTCTGATAGTTTCTCCTTTTGTACTACAGCATCATAGTTGATTGTATGTTCACCAACTAAAATGTCCAAGTGCACACGCAGCTGAGATCCATTGATCCAAACAGTATGGTTGGCGTACATGCAAATGACATGTTCACCAGGTGTATGAGAAGTTAAAAAGATCTTTCCTTCTGACCTGTACACTCTCGACAAGATAAGCTTGTCACCTGGATCCTTAACTTCAATATGCATGCCAATTCCTGGAGATGAAGGCATAAAACCACCACTTCGTGGATTATAGAGCTCTGCCTTGTAAATTACTGAAAATAATAAATGTTAAATAACAGCTCCGCTGTAAACGTGTGTATCCTTTACCTATGACGTCTGTATCATCCGGTATTTCTTCGATGAAGCATTTCGTCTCCGTTTCGCCAATGTGGAAATAAAGGCCATTGGTGAATTCCAATAAGGATATTAAGAAAATTACACTGAAAATACTAAATTTATCCATATTTATATATTTATTACGGGAAATATTCAGATCTGTCAAAACAAAAACACTTCTTCTGGAAAACAATATGAATGAAATGAAGATAGTTGCGAATATTCAAGAATAGATCAATATTTGTTGCATTTTCACACAAAACACAAACAAATCTATAATTTATTTAATAATAGCTTTCATTTATTACATTAATAAATTACAGTAATAAAAAAATAGATTACTTTACTAATAAAAATAAGGTTTAAACTTAATTTAATTAAAAAAGTGAAGCACAATATTTTAATTTAGAAATTACTTACAAATATCCTAATAATATTTAAATATATCATTTACTTTAATTAAATTGAAAAAAATAATAGCAACAAATAACATTTTGGTAACTAATAACTCAATATTTTTTTTTCGATTTATTTCTAATTTAACCCACCATCAAAAGAGGGGGCACCAATGCAAGAAATAAGTTTTTTTTAGAAGTTTGATCTTAAGAACTTTGTCCAAATACAGGTATACCCCGACTTACAAACAAAATTCTAAAAGCTCTAACTCGTTACAAGGAGGTATATAGTGATAAAAAATTAACTGTCCAAACAAAAATTGATAATTTCTGGTTTGTAGCATTTGTTTCTTTTGTCGTTTTTTATTAAATAATTGTGATGTCTACATTGAAAAGTATTTGTATGTAAGTAAGAGTTTTTTTTATTTTAAACTATTTTTTCAAATGTATGCGAACAACCCTCTGGAACGTAACTAGTTCGTAAGTCGGAGCATACCTATACTAGTAATTTTAATATTTCAATTCCCTAGTTTATTTAACTAAATTCCTAAATAAAACAAATTTCTAGACAACTTAATCAGACAACAACGTCCACTGAATCAAGATTAATCTTTAACACACCATCAAAATTATAGGATAATTCATCTTTCCTTTCCTGTTCGAAAGAGTTAAAAATGTTCTTTTTGCTTGGTTTGTTATAATTATATTTAACATTGTTTAATTAGTAAAATTGTAACAATTTTTCATAAATATTTTATAAATATATGAATTATTTTTTAATTGTAATATTTCTGTCTATGTTACAAATAAAATACAAAGGACAACTTGATTTAAAAGACAGAATATTTGAAATTTGTTTTGTTATCCTTCAGAAATTGTATTGTTCTTATGAACATCAGGAAGTGTTAGATATTACATATTTACTATTAATTAATTATAGCAAATTAACACTTTATTTTAACCTTGTTGGTATATTTCGTAATTAATTTACTGAATACTGAACAATTATAATAAATAAAGGATTAAATGTTTAATAATAAATTAATAGATAAAATTTAGTCATGTATACAATTTTATAATTATTTCTTTAATTATTTGTTTAAATAACTTTTAAATTGTAAATAATTAAAGTACACTAAGGATTGTTCGTAAGTCGAATTTGTACTTAAGTCGGGGGAATTAAAAAAAAAATCAAAATATACTTATCTTACCACACTATATCATGGTTTTTACTTTTATATATGTTAAATTCCGTATTCGTCACTGCATAAATTTGAAAAAATAGATTAAAATAAACAAAATACTTACAAATACTTTTCAATGTAGACATAATATTATATTTTATTAAAGAAATTATCAATTTTTGTTTGGACAGTTAATTTTTTTTATCACAATATATCTCCTTGTAACAAGTTAGAACTTTTATTATTTTGTTTCTAAGACAGGGAGTTAATTTTTGTTATTATCTTATGATTTTTCCAATTCCTTCAATTATTTGTTTGAATGCTGATAATTCATGATACTTATTTTCAAGTATAGAATAATTCGGTACATTAAGTGTAATGCTGGTGTATATATCTATAATGCATGAAAACAAAGATGTGAAGTGAAGAAATATTGGGTTCTTGTTATTGTCCCATATTCCCTCGAATTCCATCATTTATTTCCATTAGTGTATGGAGTATGTGGCTCGGAATAAATGAAAAGAAACTGCGAAGAGGAATGATCCGTAAATGCGATTTGAACGCCGGCCACGGAATGGCGCTCGCAGACAAAGTAAAATTTATTATCAAAGGCACTTAACGGCATTCATTAACATAGTGGATGGGCTAATAAGCGTAAAACACATAATATAAGTCCATAATTCTTTAATAAATGAACACACCACCACCACCACCCGATGGATGTTATTTCCAGCGGATTCCCCTTTCGCCGGATTCACTGGACCGGAAGTGTTAACATAGCATTATTAGCTGTGTATTAGCACACCCCACGAGATTGGGGTGGCTGGGATCCGAGCAACTAAAACGGGGTGAAAGAGAGAGAAAGATAGAGACAAACTCACCCTCATCTAATATATAGATAAACTCCGCACTACGCCAGGACGACACTTTTATTACCAATTTGTCTGCTCTTGTTATTTTTATCTGATTCTCTTCTTTTTTCTCTCCTCCACCGTTTTCGGAGTCTCCGTCGCTCATCCCCAAAAATCCCATTTTATTTTTACTGTCTGCTTCGCTGATTTGACCGAGGGTCGCACCGGACACTAATAAATGTTGTGATTGATCATTCCCTGCTCAGTTCGACGCGATGAAAACCGCGTAACAATAATATCTTTATGTATTTATATGGGCATATAAATAGAGAAACATACACGGCCTCCGGTCAGCGATTTCAGATTTATTACCAGTATATCGTTACATAATACAACATATATAAAAAAAAGTAGGACCCCCGCTTTTCTGTGTTTCACCTCTACACAATGCACCCCATGAAATATTCATGTTGAATGTACATAAATACATTTATTACGATACTCAACAAACGCCTAACAATACGACGAAACATATTTAATGTCAATCCACCATTAATATAATTTCTTTATTTTCAACGGTATACTTAAACATTTATTTTAATATAATTAAGCTAACATCAATTACATAATCAAAATCTATAATAAGATTGAAAGAATCTGTTATTGCATCATTTCTATATTAGCATACTCGCCTCGCATAGTCCGGGTAATAGATTTCGTTAATAACTGTATACAACTGGACTAAACGAGGATATTAAAATTGTACAAAAAGAAACGTGAGTTATTTTCATTTGGCTCAATTAAAATATAGTTTGTTTTAAGTTTTAAAACCGGACTATAGTGAATCCGGATTACTCGAAACCAAAATATGCGTACTACTGTACTAATTGATTTGTCTTTTCTTCAGTTTTTGCATGTTCTTCTATTGAACAATACATTAATTCAATAAAAATTACAATTTTTTTTAATCAAATATTATTAATGATAATATCACAAATGTAATAATTGTAAAATCACAAATACGAATGTTTTTTTAGAAAAGAGAAATAGTAAAATTTTCTAGAATATCTTACAAATATTCAAGTTTCAATACAAAATAGTAAACAGTTTCGTTAATATCTGTATAATACTGAACTAAACGAAAATCTTTAAACTGCAGAAATAGAGACTTGACGGTATAAAGAACAAAAACCAACAATCATTTAGATTTGAAACAATAATTCTGTGTATTTTTTTTAGAATTTATTTTCATTTTGCTCAATTAAAATTTAGTTTGTTTTAAGTTTTAAAACCGGACTATAGTGAATCCGGACTGATCGAAACCAAAATATGCGTACTACTGTACTAACTTATTTGTCTTTTGTACAGTTTTTGCATGTTTTTCTATTGAACATAATGATTATATCACAAATTTAATAATTGTAAAATCACAAATAGGTATGTTTTTTTAGAAAATGAAAAGAAAAGTAAAATATAAATTTAGACTCAAAATTATTTTCAATTTAATAATACTTTTGAATTTGAATCAATATGTAGTTTGAGGGAAACTAAGAAACTGTCGATTTCATTTTGAAATTAAGTTTTAACCGATGAGTAAAATGAAAGTAAAGATTTTATGAAAAAGATAACTCATGTACGTTAGGGGTATTGTTTGAAGTACATTGTATATAATAAAGTACAATAAGAATGATTAAGGAAGGTTTATAGAGTGCAAGGGGGTGTGTTATTTAAATGAGCTGATGCTCCTTCCTCGCTTAAAATCCTGGCACGAAAATGATAATTCTCAATTTATGCCCATTGTTGGCATTAAGTGTGCATGCAGGAGGAGTGTGCACACAGTTTTCGGTTGCTCCTTTTTAATCCTCGTGCCAGGATGGAAGTGTTGTAGCTAGAGAGTAAGTATATATGTATATGTATACATATACAGAACAGAGGACGGAGTCGGTAATAAAAGGAGCCCATATATATTAAGAATCACCGGAAAAAGAAGAAAATGTATGCGCCAGGGCAAAAAGGGGGAGGTCGACTGCACACGCATGTAATTTATACATCTCTTCCTTTCACGACCAAATGCGATATTTACTTTAAGTCCCTTTCACGGCTCTGATTCTCTAAAGGCGCCTTTCGCATTCAGCCGTATTTCAATTCTATAGTAGTATTTCCACTAAAAATTAAAAATAAACAAGTTACAAATTTCGGGTTACACAATTATGTACATTATATAAATATAAACAATAGATTTATTAAAAAACTAAAATTTGTATTGCTTTCAAATAATATTATTAAGTTGAATTTAAAGTATCAACGACAGATAGCGACCCTAGACTATTTTGAATCAAAAGTTAATCAACGTGAATTGGTGATAAATTTCTATTGTATGCAATAAGAAATGGATTTATTAACGAGTTTTGAAAATAAAGGTGCTCACAAATCATTTATATACAGTAGAACTTCGCTTAACGAGTTTAATTCGTTCCAAAATTTCCGGATTTTTACTCGTATAGTAAAAAATATTCAAAAATACACATAAAATGTGTACACAAGTTTAAAAAATGATGTAGCAGGCGCGCAATCCGAGACTTCTCTTCTCATCGTCACTCGTTATGCGAAACGTCGTTTGTTAAGCGAGTCATTTTTCTAACAAATCATTTTGTTCGTTAAGCGAAATGATCGTTATGCGAGGTTCCACTGTATATATACAAATTCTAATTAAGAAGTTATA